CCAGCTTTTCTAGGTACCGAGTACCGGGTTAATCCGGTTCTTGATGCGCTGTCCGAAAGGTGCAGAGTTGCGTCCTCTTCATAAAAACACTGAGACATGGCGACCGGCGGCGCTGCTAATGCGTTGGCTCTGAATCCAGTTGTTGACAAGAAAGGAGGAAAGAGCCACATATGGAAATATGTTGAATTAGGCTAATGTCATGTTGCCATAAAGGGCCGTTCACACGTTCACACGTTCACATAGCACGTTTTTTGCGCGTGCAAATTTCAAATGTAGGCGCGCGGGAAGCGCGCTCATAATAGAAGCGACGTGCGAGCTTGTTTTTCCCGGCGCGTCACTGTTTATGGTTGCATAGCGGAGACACACGATAGCGAGCGCTTGTGGAGAGAAGGAGAAAGCGGTGCAAACTGCGCTCTCCGTGATGACGAGGAAGTATCAGCAAAGAATTAATTGATTTCTAGCCCTTGCATTAGAAATCAGCTACAGGGTTCTCAAGTTTTGAAGACAGGCAAGAGTGACATTTTTGGCAGTTTTGGATTAAATAAAAGTAGGCTACAGTTAAGTCAAATAAAACATGTTTTATCTCCTGTATAGTTTGGTAACACTACAATAAGATACCATTCATTAACATTACTTAATGTGTTAACATCAACACATTGAGTGAACAATATATTTTTACAACATTAATTAATATTTGTGAATGTTATTTAATACAAACACTTGCTTGTTCATATTTGTTCACTTCATTCATTGTGCATTAAATAATGTTAACAGATAAAACTTTTGATTTTAAAAATGTATTAGTATATTTTTAAATTAACCCCAAGGAGAATAATTGCTACAGTACGCTATATAACTATGGTTTATTGTTAGGTCATTTTATCTAATGTTATCTAACAAATCTTATTGTAAAGTGTTTTTTTAATACTACAGTTTCCATCTTTGTAACTGTGATATACACTTTAATATATGTAAATTTTATCTAAATTAAGCTTTGGTACCGAAATTGGTACCGAGAACCGTGGATTTTCACTGGTATTGGTACCGAATACTGAAATTTTGTACCGTGACAACACTAACCGTGACAATAAGAAAGATGGCGTCTACGCTATAATTAGTCTCTCTGTTTATCCTGAGGTTTACCGCAGTCCGCCGTATCCAGATCTGATGAAGGACTTGCGCCTGGACACTCACACACACACACTCCAGATATGATGGACAGACTTTAGCTGGACAATAACTTTATCCTAATGGTGTTGTACCACCTAAACAATCTGTTATGGTAATTTCTACGGTAACTATAAAGCTGCTTTGAAACAATCCATACTGTTAAAAGTGCTTTATAAATGAAGGTGACTTGACTTGACTTGATTTGGAAGCAGCTTTGGCGATCCGCAGGGCTTCTGCAACCGACAACAATGCAGTCTCGGTTGAATGCCCTTTCTTGAAGCCAGATTGGTTGACATCCAGCTGGTTATTCTGAGACAGGAAAGATGATACTTGGTTGGAAGCAACTCGTTCAAGTGTTTTCGCTATGAATGGTAGGAGAGAGGCAGGTCTGTAACTCTCTATGAGTGATGTATTTAATGTTGTTTTTTAAGCAGTGGAGTTACTGCTTGAATGCTGTAGGGAAATGCCAGTGTGGAGGGAGGCGTTGATGATGTGTGTGAGTGGTAGAAGTGTGGGAGAGCCCGCAGGAGCTCTGTTTCCCTGGCTATTTTCTCCACTGCCGCAGCAGTGACGTCTCCTCTGCTCCCGCAGGAGCTCTGTTTTCTCCAGGTAAGTTTCTCCACTGCCACAGTAGTGACGTCTCCTCTGCTCCCGCAGGAGCTCTGTTTCCCTGGCTATTTTCTCCACTGCCACAGTAGTGACGTCTCCTCTGCTCCCGCAGGAGCTCTGTTTCCCTGGCTATTTTCTCCACTGCCGCAGCAGTGATGTCTCCTCTGCTCCCGCAGGAGCTCTGTTTTCTCCAGGTAAGTTTCTCCACTGCCACAGTAGTGACGTCTCCTCTGCTCCCGCAGGAGCTCTGTTTCCCTGGCTATTTTCTCCACTGCCGCAGCAGTGATGTCTCCTCTGCTCCCGCAGGAGCTCTGTTTCCCTGGCTATTTTCTCCACTGCCGCAGCAGTGACGTCTCCTCTGCTCCCGCAGGAGCTCTGTTTCCCTGGCTATTTTCTCCACTGCCGCAGCAGTGATGTCTCCTCTGCTCCCGCAGGAGCTCTGTTTCCCTGGCTATTTTCTCCACTGCCGCAGCAGTGATGTCTCCTCTGCTCCCGCAGGAGCTCTGTTTTCTCCAGGTAAGTTTCTCCACTGCCACAGTAGTGACGTCTCCTCTGCTCCCGCAGGAGCTCTGTTTCCCTGGCTATTTTCTCCACTGCCGCAGCAGTGATGTCTCCTCTGCTCCCGCAGGAGCTCTGTTTCCCTGGCTATTTTCTCCACTGCCGCAGCAGTGACGTCTCCTCTGCTCCCGCAGGAGCTCTGTTTCCCTGGCTATTTTCTCCACTGCCGCAGCAGTGATGTCTCCTCTGCTCCCGCAGGAGCTCTGTTTCCCTGGCTATTTTCTCCACTGCCGCAGCAGTGATGTCTCTGCTCCCGCAGGAGCTCTGTTTCTCTGGCTATTTTCTCCACTGCCGCAGCAGTGATGTCTCTGCTCCCGCAGGAGCTCTGTTTCTCTGGCTATTTTCTCCACTGCCGCAGCAGTGATGTCTCTGCTCCCGCAGGAGCTCTGTTTCTCTGGCTATTTTCTCCACTGCCGCAGCAGTGATGTCTCTGCTCCCGCAGGAGCTCTGTTTCCCTGGCTATTTTCTCCACTGCCGCAGCAGTGATGTCTCCTCTCCAGTACCTCACTATTCAGAATTAATATTCCTGTTAAAACCCCTACGTGATGCCTCTTTCTCTGTCCAGCGAGCATTGGTCTCCCAGCGGACGTTGCATGCATCTATGTTTCCTCTTTCTCTGTCCAGCGAGCATTGGTCTCCCAGCGGACGTTGCATGCATCTATGTTTCCTCTTTCTCTGTCCAGCGAGCATTGGTCTCCCAGCGGACGTCGCATGCATCTATGTTTCCTCTTCCTCTGTCCAGCGAGCATCGGTCTCCCAGCGGACATTGCAAGCATCTATGTTTTCTCCTTTTTCTGTCCAGCGAGCATTGGTCTCCCAGCGGACATTGCAAAGCATCTGTTTTCTCCTTTTTCTGTCCAGCGAGCATTGGTCTCCCAGCGGACATTGCAAGCATCTATGTTTCCTCTTTTCTGTCCAGCGAGCATTGGTCTCCCAGCGGACATTGCATAATTCTGTCCAGCGAGCATTGGTCTCCCAGCGGACATTGCATAATTCTGTCCAGCGAGCATTGGTCTCCCAGCGGACATTGCAAGCATCTATGTTTCCTCTTTTTCTGTCCAGCGAGCATTGGTCTCCCAGCGGACTTTGCATGCATCTATGTTTTCTCTTTCCCATCCAACAGGTATCGATTTCCCAGCGGACAGCAAGAAATCTCCAGTCCGGGCTTCCAAAAAACGCGCCACTCCACCGTCAGCCGGTAGGGCCCATCAGCCCGACGCTGTGAGATGCTCCCGTCGGAAGCTACATGGGCCCTCCTGGTTGGGCATTCCCAAATCTTGTCAACCAGTAGGGCCCATCCGCCCAGCGCAGTGAGCTGCTCCCGCCAGAGGCAACACGGGCCCTCCTGGTCAGGCGGCATAAATCACGCTGTTCATCGGCCGGTAGAGCTCGCCTGTCTGACGCTGTGAGCTGCTCCCGTCGAGAAACGGTGCGAGCCCTCCCAACTGTTGTTCCAAATTACGACTGCTCCCCGTTCGTGAGCCAGCAGGCCCTCCTGGTCAAGCAACCAGGCTTATTCTCAAAACGCCAGCCCGCCAAATTCTCTGCGTTTTGGGGGGTCTTTAGTCTGGCGGCTGTCCATTGCTCTTTTTGCCTTTTGGGGGAGTACTCTGGGTTCGGGCAAAATTCCGAGCTCGGAGCCCTCCCCCCGGACAGCACGCCAAATACGCATAATCTTTACTCTGTTTAATTGATGTAAGTGTGAACTCGTGAAATGATGTTTTATTAACAAAGTTCGGGAGGAGCACGTTCAGATAATTAAACCTAATTAAACACACGTGGAGCACATTCAGATAATCAAACCTAATTAGACAAGAGTGGTGCTTAATAATGAGTTAAGCGCTGTGTATATATACAGCAAACTAACCTCCGTTCATTGACAGTTTAACAGCATCCCTCCACCACCCCATCTCCTCACTTATAGTCCTAATACTCTTACAACAACGGGGGGAGTACTCTGGGTTCGGGCAAAATTCCGAGCTCGGAGCCCTCCCCCCGGACAGCACGCCAAATACGCATAATCTTTACTCTGTTTAATTGATGTAAGTGTGAACTCGTGAACACATAACCGGCGTTTTCAGAAATCTCCACTTTGGCCGGAGTTTTTAGAAATAATCGTGTAAATGAGTGACCAAACCGCGGGGAAATATCTGCGTTTTCCCTTCGTGTAAACGGGGCCTAAAACTGCACACGGGTTCTCAACTACAACTCGCTTCAGTGGACTTCATTACAGAGACATTACAAGCTCATGAAGTGATATTATCATATTTGTAACAAACATCTCAGGAAAGGAGACTTAATAAAAACATTTGCAGAGGTTTATTAAGAAAATTAGTATCAATCATACAAAATGAACAAAAAATGCTAAAAACAGGAATGAACAAGATACAATAATCCTCAGATCATCTCCATCACACAGAACAGAGAGACGATTATACAGTCTGAGTCTGTCCATTACTGTATTTAATATTATATTTACAGCAGTTTACATATGAAGCACAAGAAAATGACTTTCAGCACTGTAGGCAAATATATATAAAACCCATATAAATGAAAATAAATCTGGTCTTTTATTTGTAAAAAATATTTTAATCTAAATAAGTGATCAGAGTTTTTTTTACCTGTTTAACGAGAAGAAAATAAACCAATGAACAATCCTCTGAGTTTCTGCTATTGTAAATATTGCTGCAGATTCTGAACTCATCCGTGTTTTATTGTAATATTGTGGGCATCTCTATTTCCTCCGGGCGCTTCGAGTCCTTCCTCCCTGCAAAATAAAAGCATTGCCTGACCTCTCGTATGTGTTTCTCATGATTGCAGATGTTCAGATCAGATGAGTGTGAATCTTCAGATTGTGTGCGGCTCAAACTCACCAGCTCTTCTTGCACAGATGATCTGAAGAAGAATCACAGTAGGAGCAGCAAACACTGCGATCTCAACAATACTCACAATCACTGCAGGAAACATGAGAGGAAGAAGAGAAACTGGACATGACTGAAGTCAAGGGTCTTCATCTATCAACAGTTCTTGATGAAGCATTTACAGACTGACTGATAGTGTAATGTTATAAAGCTGTCAGTATAAATGAACGTGTCGTACCTCTGTATAATAATCCAGCAGTTTCTGATGCTGGATCAGCTGGATCTGTGGATCACGTCTGTTAGTTCAGTTCAACACATAATGCCACATATACACAACATCATCATCACATAATACTGGAGCTTCACATCACAGAAATGAGGAATATGTGCTCGAGTCTGTCATCTATTATCTTCTTACTTCAATCTCAAGCTGTCAGGTGGAGAATGGCAGTAGTGGAGAAGAGAGGTGTTACTGTATCATTTATTCCTGGTTTATATGAGAGTGAAACACAGTTGAGCTGCTGCAAATAAACCTTCAGCTTGAATGAGTGACATAAGCCTTATAATTCCTAAAACCGGCCTCCTACATGGGTCATACTAGGCTTTAATAGACTCGTCTGCTTTATGCAGTATATCATGTGTGACCCATGTAGGATGCCAATATGAGGAATTATGAGGATTGCTTTAGAGACGCTCATGTAGGAGATTTACGTTGAGTTTATGTTGAGTTACCCTTCATTGCGCTTTGGAGGAGGATTTGGTTCAAAACTACAAACACGAGTAAAAAAAAAGTGTTAAACAAAAACTACAAAACATGGCGGATATGCGCGACCAACGGTGAGAGGTTTAGATAAAGGTTTGAGTGACTCATCAAAGTTTAACCTGCTAATAAAATATTTGTTTCATGTTATTCCTTTTATATTTCATCTGCAATAACAATTGTTGCAAAAAAAATTGCAATAACAACTTTTGTAAAGATCCGTTTGGCCATTAACTTTTAAATGCATCATTCTGCATTAATATGAGGAGAGTCTCCGCATGACAGACCCGCGACTGCAGATCAACGCTTCTGCATTTCTCTACGATACAGAAGGAAATGAAATGTGGAGGATTTTATCTTTGATAAGATGATTGACAGGTCAGTTTGTGTGACAGGATGAGTGTAACTAAACGAAAGAGAGCAACCGTTAAAGACGCGATTGTATGAAGTGATAGTGTGTCCCAAAGCTTGTGTACTCTTCTGCTACACACTCAAAAGTATCCACTAGTTTCTTCCCAAAAAGAGTAAATACTTTTAGGGCGTAGTATAAGTAGACGAATTGAGCATTAGAGTAAAGAATAAGTGAAGTCGGCCATTTCCTCTTCAGTTTCATCTGAGCTGTTAAAGTGAACGGCAGGACAAACTTTCTCCGGTCAGACAGAAACAAAATGTTGGCAGAGATAACTATTTTTCTTTAAGATCAAAAATATTATTTAAAAAGAGATATTTAAATCGGTGTATTTCATATTGGGGTCATAAGACACCATAAGACACTTGATGAATAACGGATCTATACGTCACCTGAAAGCTGAATAAATAAGCTTTCCATTGATGTAAGGTTTGTTAGGATAGGACAATATTTGGCCGAGATACAACTATTTGAAATCGTGAATCTGAGGGTGCAAAAAAATCTAAATATTGAGAAAATCGCCTTTAAAGGTTTCCATTTCTGTTGGCGATTGTGCTGCAACCACTTACAAAAATAAAGTTTTGATATATTTAAGGTAGGAATCTTACTAAAAATCTTCATGGATCATGATCTTTACTTAATATCCTAATGATTTGTGGCATAAAAGAAAAATCGATAATTTTGACCCATACAGTGTTTTGTTGGCTATTGCCACAAATATACCCGTGCTACTTAAGACTGGTGTTGTGGTCCAGGGTCACATATGTTAAACTTGTTTACTTTTACATGTGTGTTTGTGATAATGTTGTGACTGCAGTATTTTATGTCTGTTTGGTGTTTTTCATGTCTCTACAGTGAATGATGTAGTTAGTCTACATGAAAAATATCTAAAGTTAGTTCAGATGATTAATACTGTAGAATATGACCGTCATATGTTGATGAGTGAACACTGAAGATAACTCTAGCATTACGCACTGAAAAGCACTGATGTGAGAAAGACAGTGATGATGTACCTTTAGAAACGTGTGTGTTTATAGTTGAGGGATCCTGAGAGTGTGTGATGTGGACTGGATTCACTGCTGTCGTTGAATCAGCTTGAGCTGTGAAGATCAATGTTAGTTCAGATGATTAATACTGTACAATATGACCATCATATTCTAACTTTGATCATCACATCACATAAAGAGTGAACAGTTGGACTGTTACTTCACTGCAGTTCATTAGTTTGAAGCAATGCTTTGAGTTCCTCTTCTGTGAGAGTCAGAGAAGCTTTTGTTCCCTCAGTTTGTTCTGGTTCAGTGATACTGATAGACCTCAGTGTTCCTGACATTATGAGGCTCTTCTAACACTGTTTTCTCACCTGAATACTTGACAGTGTATGTGACTGAGGTCTGGAGTTGATCTCTGTGAATAAGCTGACATCTCCACTCTCTGTTGGCATCTTCATTCAGGAGTGTTGTAGTCAGAGTGATGATACAGCGATCTCGAGCTGATGATGATGATGATAATATCTGATATCTGGAGTCTGTCTTCAGATCAACACCAGCCTGATTCACCCACAACAGCTCAAATCCCGCAGAACGGACCCAATCATCACAGGAGACTGAATACAACTGACAGGAGAGAGTCACAGAGCGGCCTGGACTGATCTCAGTCTGTGAGGATGAAGATGAAGATGATGATGAAGATGATGAAGATGAAGACACTGAAACTGAACACAAATCACAGACTCTTCGATCATCATCTGAGTTTAAAGGGAGAATCTGCCCTTTTTAAATTGACCACATAATCATAAACTCACCATGAAGAACATGCAGAGAAACATTAGCACCAGTTCCTTGTTGTTCTCCATTCACATATTGTCGGCATCTGTAATATCCATAATCTTCTCCTGTGACGTTCTTGATGTTCAGAGAGCAGTCAGACTCCAGACTCAGTCTCTCATGTCTCTCTGTGTCTTTATTCTTTATCCCTCCAGTAATCAGTGCAACTCTCCCTAAGCGTCTGAATATGTTAGAGTAGATCCATGATGTTGATTTGCAGTCAGAAAGAGCTTTTTTATTATTACAGGAGAGAGAGACATTTACACCAGAACTGATGAACACATGATCCACTCCACTGGTGCCTGAAATACAGTATATCTCAGTCATCATTATGATAAAAACAGAAGTTAAATCATGATATTTTCCTCACTGTTGCTCTCGACTGCATCTGAGAGTGTTAAAGCTCTGTTGTAAAGCCCCAGTTTCGGCTGCTCTGAGTTCGATCGCTCTTTGAGTTGTAAGTTGATGCGAGCGCGGATACATGGAGTTACTGGAGCAGTTTTGCTTCTAGACGGCGAGGATGTGGACCATCAGTGCTTTTTCTCCCGTAAGTCTGATAAACATCAAGGGAATTACTCGACAGTTGAAAAGGAAACTTTGGCGTTGTTGTTTTTCTTGCAGTTCTGTGAAGTTTCCTTAGGCTCTTCCATCCGGCCCACTATTGTCTATAGCGATCACAACTCCCTTGTTTTACTTTCCCGTATGTATAATGCTAATCAACGGCTGATGCGTCGGGCTTTATTAGTACAGAGTTATAACCTTGAAAAACAATACCTGTTCCGGTTACATTTATTTGTACTTTTGGTTATTACTTATAAGCTTTGTTAGTGTGTTATGATTATCATGTGAAACCAAATTACTCTGCCGTCCTATTTCCTTTATTATTGAGTATTTGAGAGCGGTAATGCTGGATAGAGGAAAAGGGAAGTTATGTCACGTGACGTACATCGGACACACTTAGTTCTCATTTATTTAGTTTAAAGTTTAGGTTTAGGGGCAGAGATGGGCACAAATACATCAAAAAGTATTTAATTACAAATTACAAATACTTACTTATCAAATGTATTTAAATAAAATACAAAATACTGCTGTGAAAAAAGTATTTAATTAAAATGGAAGTAATTTGTAATTTGAAAATACAAAATACAAACAAACTGTAGAGTCTTGTGTAGTGTGAGAGTAAGTGTGGAGTTAGATACATGTCAGAGTAGAGAATATCGGAATATCATCGTTTAGTGCAGAAGATGCACTTTTAACGTACATGTTGCCACACACTCTCATAATAAAAGATCATTACGCCAATAACACTTATTTGTATAATATTACACAAAAACTAGTTAACGCTGCTGTGAGGAGGTTTCTAATACCCCGTCTGTGACAAAGTTGACATCTTTCTCTCTTCCGACTGCCATTATCAATCTATCTATTTTTTTTTACTCTTTTTGAAAGTTGTGAAAACACTGTTGTGGCGTTTTTCTTTTGCTATTTGAGAAAATGGGAACACAAAAAATATATTTAATGTTGTCTCTCATTCACTGCTATAAAAGTTTACCCAACTATGACGCCTTCCACTTCTGAGAAACCCGGAAATGTGAACAGGGTCAATAGGATGTGTCACATCACGGGATTTTCTTGCCAAAAACTGTGAAAGGCAATTTGTTAGTCATATCTGTATTTTATGTCTATGGTCCTAAGGATAGTTCACCGAAAAATGAACATTAGCCCATGATTTACTCACGGTCAAGCCATCCTTGGTGTAAATGACATTCTTCTTTAAGACGAATACAATCTGAGTTATATTAAAAAATGTCCTGGCTCTTTCAAGCTTTATAATGGCAGTAAATGGCTGTATATTTTTGGAAGTCCATCAAAGCGCATCTATCCATCATAAAAGTGCACCTATCCATCATAAAAGTGTGTCTATCCATCATAAAAGTGCATCTATCCATCATAAAAGTGCATCTATCCATGATAAAACTGCATCTATCCATCATAAAAGTGCATCTATCCATCATAAAAGTGCATATGTCCATCATAAAAGTGCATCTGTCCATCATAAAAGTGCATCTGTCCATCATAAAAGTGCATCTATCCATCATAAAAGTGCATCTATCCATCATAAAAGTGCATATGTCCATCATAAAAGTGCATCTGTCCATCATAAAAGTGCATCTATCCATGATAAAAGTGCATCTATCCATCGTAAAAGTGCATCTATCCATGATAAAAGTGCATCTATCCATCATAAAAGTGCATCTATCCATCATAAAAGTGCATCTGTCCATCATAAAAGTGCATCTATCCATGATAAAAGTGCATCTGTCCATCATAAAAGTGCATCTATCCATGATAAAAGTGCATCTGTCCATCATAAAAGTGCATCTGTCCATCATAAAAGTGCATCTATCCATCATAAAAGTGCATCTGTCCATCATAAAAGTGCATCTATCCATCATAAAAGTGCATCTGTCCATGATAAAAGTGCATCTATCCATCATAAAAGTGCATCTATCCATGATAAAAGTGTATCTATCCATCATAAAAGTGCATCTATCCATCATAAAAGTGCATCTGTCCAACATAAAAGTGTATCTGTCCATCATAAAAGTGCATCTATCCATCATAAAAGTGCATCTATCCATCATAAAAGTGCATCTATCCATCATAAAAGTGTATCTGTCCATCATAAAAGTGCATCTGTCCATCATAAAAGTGTATCTGTCCATCATAAAAGTGCATCTATCCTTGATAAAAGTGCATCTGTCCATCATAAAAGTGCATCTGTCCATCATAAAAGTGCATCTGTCCATCATAAAAGTGCATCTATCCATCATAAAAGTGCATCTGTCCATCATAAAAGTGCATCTATCCTTGATAAAAGTGCATCTGTCCATCATAAAAGTGCATCTATCCATAATAAAAGTGCATCTGTCCATGATAAAAGTGCATCTGTCCATGATAAAAGTGCATCTATCCTTGATAAAAGTGCATCTATCCATCATAAAAGTGCATCTGTCCATCATAAAAGTGCTTCTGTCCATCATAAAAGTGTATCTGTCCATCATAAAAGTGCATCTATCCATCATAAAAGTGCATCTGTCCATCATAAAAGTGTATCTGTCCATCATAAAAGTGCATCTATCCTTGATAAAAGTGCATCTGTCCATCATAAAAGTGCATCTGTCCATCATAAAAGTGCATCTGTCCATCATAAAAGTGCATCTATCCATCATAAAAGTGCATCTGTCCATCATAAAAGTGCATCTATCCTTGATAAAAGTGCATCTATCCATAATAAAAGTGCATCTGTCCATGATAAAAGTGCATCTATCCTTGATAAAAGTGCATCTATCCATCATAAAAGTGCATCTGTCCATCATAAAAGTGCATCTATCCTTGATAAAAGTGCATCTATCCATCATAAAAGTGCATCTATCCATCATAAAAGTGCATCTATCCATCATAAAAGTGCATCTATCCATCATAAAAGTGCATCTGTCCATCATAAAAGTGCATCTATCCATCATAAAAGTGCATCTATCCATCATAAAAGTGCATCTATCCATCATAAAAGTGCATCTGTCCATCATAAAAGTGCATCTATCCATCATAAAAGTGCATCTGTCCATCATAAAAGTGCATCTATCCTTGATAAAAGTGCATCTATCCATCATAAAAGTGCATCTATCCATCATAAAAGTGCATCTGTCCATCATAAAAGTGCATCTATCCATCATAAAAGTGCATCTGTCCATCATAAAAGTGCTTCTGTCCATCATAAAAGTGCATCTATCCATCATACAAGTGCATCTATCCATCATAAAAGTGCTTCTGTCCATCATAAAAGTGCATCTATCCATCATAAAAGTGCTTCTGTCCATCATAAAAGTGCATCTATCCATCATACAAGTGCATCTGTCCATCATAAAAGTGCATCTATCCATCATAAAAGTGCATCTGTCCATCATAAAAGTGCATCTATCCATCATAAAAGTGCATCTGTCCATCATAAAAGTGCTTCTGTCCATCATAAAAGTGCTTCTGTCCATCATAAAAGTGTATCTGTCCATCATAAAAGTGCATCTATCCATCATAAAAGTGCATCTGTCCATCATAAAAGTGCATCTGTCCATCATAAAAGTGCATCTATCCATCATAAAAGTGCATCTGTCCATCATGAAAGTGCATCTGTCCATGATAAAAGTGCATCTATCCATCATAAAAGTGCATCTATCCATCATAAAAGTGCATCTATCCATAATAAAAGTGTATCTGTCCATCATAAAAGTGCATCTATCCATCATAAAAGTGCATCTATCCATCATAAAAGTGCATCTATCCATTATAAAAGTGCATCTATCCATAATAAAAGTGCTTCTATCCATCATAAAAGTGCATCTGTCCATCATAAAAGTGCATCTATCCATCATAAAAGTGCATCTATCCTTGATAAAAGTGCATCTGTCCATCATAAAAGTGCATCTGTCCATCATAAAAGTGCATCTGTCCATCATAAAAGTGCATCTATCCATCATAAAAGTGCATCTGTCCATCATAAAAGTGCATCTATCCTTGATAAAAGTGCATCTGTCCATCATAAAAGTGCATCTATCCATAATAAAAGTGCATCTGTCCATGATAAAAGTGCATCTGTCCATGATAAAAGTGCATCTATCCTTGATAAAAGTGCATCTATCCATCATAAAAGTGCATCTGTCCATCATAAAAGTGCTTCTGTCCATCATAAAAGTGTATCTGTCCATCATAAAAGTGCATCTATCCATCATAAAAGTGCATCTGTCCATCATAAAAGTGTATCTGTCCATCATAAAAGTGCATCTATCCTTGATAAAAGTGCATCTGTCCATCATAAAAGTGCATCTGTCCATCATAAAAGTGCATCTGTCCATCATAAAAGTGCATCTATCCATCATAAAAGTGCATCTGTCCATCATAAAAGTGCATCTATCCTTGATAAAAGTGCATCTATCCATAATAAAAGTGCATCTGTCCATGATAAAAGTGCATCTATCCTTGATAAAAGTGCATCTATCCATCATAAAAGTGCATCTGTCCATCATAAAAGTGCATCTATCCTTGATAAAAGTGCATCTATCCATCATAAAAGTGCATCTATCCATCATAAAAGTGCATCTATCCATCATAAAAGTGCATCTATCCATCATAAAAGTGCATCTGTCCATCATAAAAGTGCATCTATCCATCATAAAAGTGCATCTGTCCATCATAAAAGTGCATCTATCCTTGATAAAAGTGCATCTATCCATCATAAAAGTGCATC